CAACCCTGATTTAACTTTCAATTGGTAACTTTTTTCATGACTGATAAAATTACTTCATTGTGATTGGCTGAGTGCTGGCTAATTTATCATTAATTTTTAATTTGCATTGCAGTGCAAATTGACATGCACATTCACGATTTTCTCAGTCACACTATAAATGTGTTAAATATGAAAGCTCAAGCAGTAATATTAAGGATTTACACAACTCATGATTTTTGAAAAGTTTTTACATTTCTACCCGCCTAAAGGCTCATGCAATTTAAACCCTTACTTACATTGTGTAGTTCCAGAAAATATCCATACCTCCCCCATGGAAAGGATTACTTCTAAGACCTCCCACCCCTCTGGAAATTCCAATTAAACATAATACATTTTTCACATGTTTTGGTCTTACAGACCCCCCCCATCCCCCAACCACCAGGAAATTCCAATCCTTTCTGTGGGGGTTGTATGGATATTTTCTCGAACTGCACATTTGTATTCATGCAATTTATTATGTATACTTATTCCTCAGCTTACACACAGATTTCATAACATGGAGAGGGCACTTGACAAAGATCATGTGCACACCTTATGAGACAAGGGAATCATGGCAGATGGCAGCAACACTTCACAATGAAACCATCTATATCAGTGAGGTAGAAACAGAGGAAAACAAAGAAAGACGTACAAAGATGGATGAAAGACAGAAGGAGATGTGTTACTGGGGTTATAACTTTGAAAGCTATGTTACATCACCAGTGGACAAGAGTCATCAGAACAATGGGGCAACAAGAGAAAGTCGTCCTTGTAATGACAGTGAGGCATTTATCACTGTTATCAGAACCAGGCTTGGTGGCCATTCTTTGGTGTTTGGAGCTGAAGTGGACTGCTGTGCTAAGGTTTGTTTTTTGATCTGTAGAGAAGTTGGTCACAGTTTGAAGGTACCATCATAAAAGGATGGTAGGTGTGGTGGCCTCATGGTTGGTGGGTATACCTCTGCATCGAATGATCCGGGTTGGTGTCCTAGACAGGGACATTGTGTTGTGTTCTTGGGCAAGACACTTAACTCTCACAGTGCCTCTAGCCTCTCCACCCAGGTGTATAAATGGGTACCGGCAAACTTTATGCTGGTGGTAACCCTGCAATAGACTAATATCCCATCCAGCGGGGAGTAGAAAACTCCTAGTTGCTTCATGCTACTGAAACCAGAGGAAAGCGCCAGCATGATGGGCCACCTGGCTTGTATACTGACTTTGCCTATCATAACTCCTTAATTACCCTGGTGACAGGGCCTATTAGATTTTTTTAAGTCTCTTGAGAGAGGGGTGGGTTACCATAAATAAATAGGGAGAAGAACTTATTTCAAATGAAAAATAATTTACTCCTTATGAAAATAGATGCTGGAGATGTTAAAAATGATTAAATTTTTACTTTTTGGTCATTTGATTTCATAAATTTTAATTAATTTTTATTATGATGATGTTCTTCTATGAACAGGGGAAAAATAAAATAAAAAATAAATAAATAAACAAACATGGTGACTGAATAATATTTGCATAGTACAATTTCTCCTCTTCCTGAGATGTAGGCCCAATTTCCTTCGCTTGAGTCTGCTTGTGTTCCTCATGGGCTCATTCCCTGAATCACCACCAGCTGGTATCAAGCCTACTTAAAATGGTCCTTTGCTACCATTTTAGGAAGGGGGAGGTTCTTGTTAAAATATTGAAGCAGTAGAGGGGGCTGCGGGTTCACAAGGCTACATGTGTCCAATGCCTAACATTTCAGTGTTTTATCCTCACTAGGAAGATGAAGAAGCCCCAGCAAACTACATAGAGTTGAAGACCTCCCTAAAGCCTCACCATTACCATCACCACCAGAACTTCAAACGCTACAAGCTGATCAAGTGGTGGGCCCAGTCATACCTTGCAGGTGTTCCAAAAATCATCTGTGGCTTCAGAGATCATGATGGCCAGGTCAAAGAACTTCAAACATACAACACCCTAGCCATACCAAGACTCGTTCGAGATGAAGAGGGGCTGTGGGACTCCTCTGTTTGTCTGAACCTTCTGGACAGGTTTCTCACTTGGATGAAATCAGTGGTTGTGAAGAACGGTCCAGGTGTTGTTTATATGTTCTCTTGGAAACATCCCTTTGAGGAAATAACTGTTTCTGAGTTGTCAGACGGATCTCATCATGTCCTACCAGACTGGTATTTGGAAAGCTCTGGAAATGTTGCCTCTCCTTGACAATAATGACTGATGGTGCTTGATGTCACTGGTTATGAGCAAAAGAAACTTTTGGATTGTAGTGAACCACTCACAGGGCCATAGCCAAAAAAAATTATAACTGAGGCAATGTTCAAGGTTAAATTGCATACATGTAGAAGAGTCAATTTTTATTTTGGATTTGCTAATAAAACTTTTATAGTTATTATTTTATTTATTATTATTTAATTGTCCTCCTATGTATTTAGGGTGTTTATGATCACTATAAAACAACAAAAATGGAACAAATGACTGAGACAAGTACCTTGGTTTGCCTGTTACTACAATCGGCAACAAAATTGTTGACACATTCACCCTTTTAACCCCTATTTCATCACTGTGATCCATTTTTGGCCTCCTAGCTTGTCCTTTCAATCCCCCTCATCCCCAAACAATGTGTGGCAATTGCCGTGATCTTAAGCTACAAACAAACAACATTGAATGGGGAGCAGGGTCTTTTCCACAGTAATTTACTGTGCGATAGAAAGAGTCGTGTTATTTGGTGCACTAAAAGTACTGTTGAAAGACAGTGTGTCAACTTATTGTGTCGCCGATTATAGCTACAGCCCTGGCTCAAGTACTTGGACTGTAGAGTAGACACGCAAGAAAAAGGCAGCTCACACATAAAAACACACTTTGTTGTTTCCCATTTTTTTGAACTATGGCATTTTGCTCATTCTCTCCACAATCACAAAGCCAGGAACAGATGACAGTTGTTAAAACACATATTAAATAAAGTCTCTCAGCACATGAGCATTGGCTTATTCGAAGAGTAAAATTTACATGGAAGCCTTGAAAATCAAACAGGCTGAGAAAAATTCATTGGTTAGATGATTTTTAAGCTTTTCCTATACACTTAATGTTGTAGATTGCTACTGATGTTATGATGCTTTATTGACATTTTAACCATAGAAAACATTTGATGTTTTAATAAATTATTTTACAATAACTGTCTATCGGTAATTTCTCGCTCTCTGATTGGCCCATTTTTATCATCAATAAGATTACAGAGGGATAAAATTTGAATTTATGCAAGCTTTCAACTTCAACTGACAGCTGTGAAATTGTCAACTTGTTAACCAAAGAGATTTTATTGACTTTTTTAAGTAGCCAATCAAAAAGCGAGAAAAGCTATTGCAATGTTCTGGTCATTTTGAATAAAATTCACTTATCTTTGTTTACAGCAAGTTTATAGCATCTTTTCCCCTCATTTATTTCCGGAATTTGACCATTTTGGGGTCTTGTTATTGAAAAAGGTCAATAGAAAACTTATTCTGAGTTCATATATATCCTCATATTTCTCTCCCAGTTCTTCTCTTTCTTTTCTTTGGCTAGCTTTTCCCATCTTCTCATTTTCTTACTACCAGTAACTTCTTTCTTTTCTCCCTCTTTGGTCAGAACTTTTCTGCTCTTCACAGCGCTGTGATCATTTGGACCGAAGTGTGTAACTCTTGCTTGTTGACTTCCCTTGCTTCCAAACCCCAACCGATCTCTCTTGAGGACTGTCTTAACTGGGTATTTCCGTCCCACTCCATCTGGACCTAAACCTATGATGAAAGGAAAAATGTCTGGTCTAAGTGATAATCGCAAAAGGTGAGACTGATTAGGGTCAAATTAAATTGTAATCATTTGGGGTTACCATTGTACGGAATTACAGTCGTTTCGTCCCAGGTCTGTTTCGCCCCAAGTCGTTTCACTCCAACTCAAAGTCATTTCGCCCAAAGTTCTTTCAAACGATTTAGAAAGCAATAAATGGTTAACTTGACCAAAACAAGCACTGTTGAGACCCCTTCTCATCTTCCCGACGACATCATTGAATACTATGCACATTACATGCAAACATCTTGCACACTCGATCCCAACATCGATCAATGGACTTTGTTTGACTTTGTTGCTATGAGAGTGCAACAACACTTCTGATCTATGTGCGTAATCAAACAAATACATTTAGACTCAATGGCACTTTAACCACATTAATGTTTAATAAAAAGGTTTAAATGGCATTTGATACTCTACAGGTAACAGGCATGGAAGGTTTATTACATGTAAGTTTTACAAATACGATCAGCCATCGATCAACCGGCACATCATCAACATGGCGTGGGTGGTAAAGAGGGATTGGGGAGAGTGAAATGAACAATTTAAAATGTCACTAACGACCTCATCTTACAAAGGTGACATTTTATTTCTCTAGTAATTTGTAAATACATTTCAAGTTACTTTAAACGAAACGACTTTAAAGTTGGGGCGAAAAGACTTTAAGTTGGGGCGAAACAACTTTGAGGTGGGGCGAAACGACTTTGAGTTGGGGCGAAACGACCTGGGGCGAAACAGACTTAGGGCAAAATGACCTGTTTCCATTGTATGTAAGCACCTCCTAACTATCCACATATAAACAGACCATTGCAACATGGTCCAGACTCCAAAACATCTCTTCCCAGTAACCATTATTTTTTATTTATACTTCATGTGGCTTATCACATGCTGAAAAATGTGCTGTTAGATCTGACTAAGGCTATGTTCACACTTAGTCCTTGAGCATGGTGCCCAAGTATGATTCTTGCTGGATACTAACCTTTTTTCCAAGTACTCACACTAGAATTTGGACACAGTGCATATGGTACTTGGATGCTTGGAGTACCAGTGTCTGAATGCAACACTATTTTGCGCTGGTGCCTGGGCACCAGTACTTGAGCACCAAGTGTGAACAAAGCCCAAGACGTCAACTTTGGAAGAATTAAATCTGCCAAACTAATGCTCTTTTTGTTCAAAAACTACCATTTGCAAAAACAAATTGTCACCAACCTTGGTCTTCATTCCAACCAGACTTTAACATCATTTGATAACCAACATTGCCTTCTGGTATATAGTAAAATGTTCTTTGAGGCTTGCGCTGTATGTTAAACAAGTGCACGGTTGAACCCTCATGTATCTTCATACCATCTGTAAACTCTTGCTCACATATAGAACACCAGAATTTTGTCTTATTGTTTTTGGAAGGGCATGATTCTTTGCGGATTTTGTTGTGTTTGGATTTAGCCTGACCACTGAAGGATTTAAGAAGTTCTACCACATCAAAGTGGCCAGCAAGTTTAGCCAGGTCTAATGCTGTTCTTCCCTGTAAATCCTTGTGACGTCTCCACAAAGCTCCTTTCTCCAACAAATATCTAACAATGTGAATCTGGCCATCATGCGAAGCGCACATCAAGGCAGTCCAGGAATATTGGTCACACACATTGATATCTATACTACTATTATCCGATAGGAGTTCTTGGACTTGTCTTAAATTTCCTTCCTGAGCATTTTTCAAAAACTTGTTCACTAACCTGTGATTCGGGGAGGAAGGTACAGGCAGTTTCTGAGATCTTGATCTAATTCTAAGACGAGGTTTTGTCGTGTTCAAATCACCTACAGTTTGAGTTGATGAACTATCAAAGGCATTCAGTTTGTTACTTCTCCTCTTCTTTGAATTATCTTGTTCTCCAGTATGGGTCTTTAAAGCGAAAGTACGTTGCATATCAGAACTAGGTGAAGACAGGACGGTTTCATAAAATGTTTTGGCTTCCTCGCCCGACATGTTTTCACGTCGATCGCAGTTTGTTTTTCCCTTCTTTGAGTTGAATATAACATCCTTGCCTTCTTTCGGCGAGACAAACCTCTGTAAAAAATAAGATGGACGGTACATTTCTCTAAGTCTTACTAATGAGCATCAGTAGCGTTTCCTGAACGAAACAAAAGAGCCGGTTTGCTCTGCAACGGCACCATGTACCACGACGATTTGTCCGCCATCTTGCGTGACGTCGCAAACGTCATCAAATTGGTTCCCAAGCTAAACGGAGGCATCTACGAATGTTTGAGAAGCGTATGTTGGCTTCGATATTCCGGTTTTAAATCCACGCATTTGGGACTATTTTCACCCGAAGGATAAAAGAGTGAACATCTTTTAACAACTGTGAAAGGCCTAGTGATGCGGAGAAATTTGTCTGAATCATTTGATATTCCAGCAGATTGATTTTGGGTCGATTCTACCTACGTCATTGCGCAGTCTGTCTAAACGAGACAGCAAACACAGTGATACATTCGTGTCGATAGCGCACATACAGACAGCATGGATAAATTTGTAATTGTTGGGGGATTTTTATGTTTTGCGGCCGATGTATTCGCCATAGCGTCGTTGGCAACTCCAGAATGGGTTGTGATGGACTTTGCTGGTGAGTTTCTACGTGTAATTATTGGCTCAAAATTAAGCTCATTTATGGGCAGAATAAGCTAAGTTTAATGTAGTAATTGGGTAAGTTGTAAGATTTTAAACAAGTGTGTACCCTTTTCATTTTTGATTAATTTCAAAATTTACCAAGCATTCACTTTAATGACTGAGAGCTTACTAGGAGGTAAACTGATTCTGGGAAATTGTAGGCTTCCTTCAAGCCTCTTCTCATGGCGCCAACAGTTTTCATCTTGAGATTGCTATGCAACTGACCGTGCAAGTTTGGCAACTTTCCGAGTACTCTTGAGTACCCATATAATACAGTGCAATCCTGATATTCCAAACCCTTGATTTTTCGAAGTTCTCGATTCTTCGAACAAGACCTGAAATCAATGAACATTGATGAAAATCGTTCATCTGAAAACAAATTGATCAATCAATGTCAATCAATGGATTTATGTGTTATTGACCAAGTGCAAGGTCAAGATGGCAGGATATTGGCCATGTTCTTTCTTTGCTTGTTTGTGGATAGAGATGGTGCTTGGTCAATGATGGGTTTATTAAATGGGATAAAGAACAAATTTTTTCTTGGGGGACAGTGCGTAATCCCAGGTGGGCTTGGGCAGCCAATCACAGTGCTGGATTTGGGTCATCTTGCCTGCCTAGCAAGCTGGCCATACAATAGGTTATTAGCATTGATTGGTATCAGCTAATCAATGGCCAATCAATAATAACTTAAAAGTGGTCTTGGAATCATCAACTGACCGTACAGTGCTGCTAAGTAAAGGCTTTTTGTTAGGAAATTTTCCTAACAAAAGTTGTTAATTATCAACAACTTACTGTGTATGTGTATGTCAGCTTATATTTATGCACCAGTGAAAACCAGCCACCACAATATTGTTAACCAAAGACAAGCTGTGTTGTTCAACTGATCGATTAATCATTATGGTAGACTGATAATGAAATTGAATCAGTAATGACAAATATATAGATTTAATCAAAACAATATCTTGTGTTTGATTGCTCATTTATTATCAATGTCATGTGATTAATTGAGATTGATTGATATCAATTGATATTGATTGACATCAGTTGTCATCAAATATCAATTTCATTGACTGTTTAAGTCCTGATTAGATGCAAATTTCCATTCCCTAGGTGGTTTAAAATCAAGACTCCATGATACTTTTTGATGGGAATAAAAAAGAAACTTTAAGTGTGTTTCAACAAAGATTTGATAAAACAGCACTTGTTTCTATGAGTGACCTCCCCCTCCTTGTTTAACTGAGGTTTCATCAGTATTTAGCCACCGGGGCCGGGTTGTTCGAAACCCGGTTAACGCTAATCCAGGATTAAAAGTAAACCAAAGTAACAATTTTTCTTCTACAGAAATGTTTTTCACTNGCCACCGGGGCCGGGTTGTTCGAAACCCGGTTAACGCTAATCCAGGATTAAAAGTAAACCAAAGTAACAATTTTTCTTCTACAGAAATGTTTTTCACTGCTTATGTTTTCTGTAGTTTGAGATTACTCAAGCTCAGAACAGAAGGGCAAACAACATAAACAGAAAACCTCACCGAAAATGTACAAAAATGGAATCAAAATTCTGGCTAATCCTAGGTTAGCTTAATCGGGCTTTGAACAACCCAGCCCAGGAGTGTGTATAATATTTCTGCTCCCCCTTTAATTAGGATGCCACTTTTCTGTAGGGTTGCTCGTTACCAGCATTAATTTGGCGATATCCATTTAATGTGCACCTCGAGGAAAGATTCACTCTGGGGAAGTACTCCGAGAGAAATTGGGTGGGGGTGTGGAGCTGCTTCCCAAAACCCTTATCCTATTAAAGACCAAAATCTGCAATTTTCCCTAACCTATTTTATGACCTGACCAAAAATTTGATGCCTTATTTAGGACCTGACCTACTACGTTCAGACCGTTAATATGCTTTTATTAGGTTGGATAGCTTCATCTAAAAAAGATACCCAATTCAAGACTAGAGTGCAAAAACCATACTCCGTTTGAGACCAAAATGGCCACAAGCGATACCCTATTTCTGACCAATTATTAATGGCTGGAAAACCATACCCTTTGGTGGTGCATATACCTATGTAGCCCATATAAGGGAGAACTGTACCCCAACTGCACTTTTTAATGCTATTAATTTTAAAAAGAATATTGCTACGGATCTTGATCANCCATACCCTTTGGTGGTGCATATACCTATGTAGCCCATATAAGGGAGAACTGTACCCCAACTGCACTTTTTAATGCTATTAATTTTAAAAAGAATATTGCTACGGATCTTGATCATCACTAATAAATATTTATGACAAAATTGGGACTAGAGAAAAAGTCCGGATAATCAAGAAATCCCAATAATCGAGGTACGGATAATCGAGGTTTGACTGTATCATGAGCCCAAGCAGGGCTCTAACCCTTTCTGGGCAATCTTGGCATCCAGCAGGCTATCAACTAGATGTGTCTAACTTACACATTATTCAAAAAGGGATGACTAACCATTGAGTCAGATACTTTTAATAAGAACACACCATACCATGAAGCCAAGCAGGGCTCTAACCCTTATTAGGCAATCTTAGCCTCCAGCAGGCTATTAACCGTTCCTTCCTCTTAAAAGTCATTCACTCTTAAAGGTGATTTCTAATTTGTACTGCACAGTCTCAGCACCTTAATGTTTAAAAACATTAAAGTCTCGCTCGATGAAATGCAAATTATTGATGTTATACGCAACAAACCACATACCTTATCTCTGAGGTCTTTCAATTCTTTTTCCAACAGCTTCATTGATTTTTGCAGCTGTGAAGTTGTTTCATCAAGTGATATAAGAAAGAATGAAGCATACATGTATAGCTTCGACCACTTCACATCCAAAATGAAACTTTAAAATTTACTTCATGTAAGTAGTTGCAAAATGTTTACATTTTGTGATGTCTTACATGAAACAAAACATAAAAGCGCAAACAAAACTCTCTAGAGTGTGTAGTACAGACTGGAAGTCATCTTAGAAAGTAATTCATTAAAAGCCATTGTTCGTATGTCCCAGGTTCGACGGTCAGGAAAAAAGTTCAGTCTTTAGAACATACAACATTTTAATTTCCGAGGAGATAAACGTGTACACTTTTCAACATGGCCGACAACTCGCAACCTCATGGTCGAACAACAGGTCTTACTGCGCATGCGTGCAAAACTCCTACTAGGAGGGGGACTCCAGGGAATTGCTAATTTACAATAAGGCTTTCTGCGGAACAGCCATTCACAAAGCAACAACCAACCATTAATGATACAGCATAACATGAATCCACACAGGGCTCTAACCCTTACTGGGCAATTTTAGAGTCCGGTGAGCTAACTATAAACTCTGTGTCTCCGACTTAAAATTCACTCACAAAGGGACAACCAACCATCAAGTTAGATACTTCTAATAGTGTTGTAGTTATAAATTTTGATCCTTGTGTCCTGTCTTTACTAGGGTCTGTTCGACTTGGTCTTACCGTCATGTGTCAGAAGTCAGATGGTCAGCCAGAAGTTTGTGTTACTCCTGACTTGCCTCGAGAATGGCTGGCCACACTCATGTTTATGATTCTGGGTGTGGTGGCTTTAACTCTCACATGCTTTTTATTACTGGTATCACCTTGGAAACCATCCATTGTTGATGCAGCCAAGTGGATTGTTTTTATTGGAAGTAAGTTATAACCTATCCAAGTCTGAGCACACCATGATATTATAGAAAACATCTTCACTTTTTTCCATGTTTCTTGAGGCCATTTTTTCCTTGCAAAAACTTCTTTCCCTTATTCATTTAGTAGACATTTTCAGAGTTACTATGCTAGCATAGTTAGATAGATATCAATTCAGATCCTTCCATTTAAAGCTTTCTCCTTTCATCAAAGCAAAAATGATATCAGGAATAAGAACACCTTTGTATTCTCCATTACTGCTTCCTTTAATATATAGTGTTAAGTACCTAACTCTATACACCATATAAACACACACCCATAACTCACAATTTATTAATCATTCAGTTTGGTCAGATGAAGGAGGCCAGGGCTGTCACTTGAAAAGTGAGCTTTTGCAAATTTGCTATAATTTCTGTTATCTTGCCTTTATCAACTTCAAGTTGACAATCAACTAAGAGTTGAGGCCTTCCAAGTGGTAAAAGCGACAAGCAACACNAATACGATATTTCGCACTGGAATAAAACGAAACAAACCATTTGTATTTCAAAGAAATATAGCTGTTTTACAAAAAATTCTAGGAATGACATCGATAGTCTGAACGATAACGCAACCCGAGAATAAACAACATTTTAGGAATTAAGTCACGATTTTTAGAGTCATTTTTAGGGTCGTAAAGAGTTGCCTTTAAATAGAATAAAACCTTGAAATGATCGTGTTCTAGGATAGAAAACACTTAAGAGGCAAGAACAAATCAAAACCGAATGAGGATCGTTAAGGATGGCAAAGATTAACGAGGACTGCAAATGACGACCTTGAAAAACTAGGCTAGTTTTTTCAAGATGCGCAAATCGTGACGTAGCTCCTTTAAAGCAAGTCATGTCCTTAAGCTTTCGTACGTAAGTTTTCTCATTAACTGTAACGCCAACTGTAACGCTCACATATGACATGAAAATGTAGCTGAGAATTAGCTACTGATACTAATAACAACAATTTCAAAAACGAGAATGGGAAGTTCACGCAAGCTTCGAGCCAACTAACGTTAAAATATAACTACATTTGCCTGTTCGTTACAATTTAAATTCGTCCTAAATTAGGCGCTTATGCTGGTCTTTAAATGACCTCTTGTCATTCTCTGTAATTAACATGTCATTAGTTGCGTCAAATTCGGGATTCTTATTTTCATTTAACATATCTAAGTTTTCCACCTTTATTTTTAATTTATTATTATCTTATAAATGATTTGATTTTTTTTCTTTAAAACTTTATTTTTTTTTTTCTGTGATGCGATCCGTGATCCGATCCGTGATCCAATCCGTGATCCGATCCGTGATCCGGTCCGTGATCCGGTCCGTGATCCGGTCCGTGATCCGGTCCAGTCCGATCCTGGTTTTGTCGGCGCCGTGGTCCCATTTGAAGTTGTGACCAGTTGACGTGACATGGTCTGCAATAGCAGAAGCATGACAGCTACTCGTGATCGATGGCCAAAGAAAAAGAGTAATTACAGATTCTATCCTTGCTTTGATGAGTATTATATCTCATTCTGTTCAGTCTGGTAATAAGTTTACTTAGTAAATGTACAAACTATAAGTTACTGCCCTTGTGGCCTTTTCTAGATAAGTCACTTTTGTCTTTCTCATAACAATCTATTTTAGTTTAGCAACAATCTAAATTTTCCTTTCAGTGCGGATTGTGTTCTGCCTAGCTGCCCTGGCATTCCCAATGGGATTTCAAATGCCTGAAATTGGTGGCAAACCATACAAGCTTCCACAAGGCACTAATGTTGGACCTTCATTCTTTCTTTACATATTTTGTATAGTTTTTACAATTGCTTCGGAACTTTTTATATTTAAAGTTTGTCCACTGCCGCTTAGGTGATCAAGAAAATATTAAGAATATTAGAGTAAGCAGTTAATAGATTTCTGTGGTAACTTTACAAAGAGAACTGAGTAAATTTTTGGTTTGTCAGTTTTTCTCCAGGTAAAGAAAGCACTAAGTTAGGTCAGGCATCCTTCTTACGAGAACATTCAGGTACTGGAGCAAGAAAAATCTGTATCCCTAAAGGCAAGGAAATGTCTTTCAGATACTCCCCAGGTGTGATGATTTTTCAAGTATTTATTCTAACTGATATAGTTAGCCGTGTAGTTGTAAATAAGATAATTGCATTACAACATGTACTCCATTGATGTAAGAGGAGTATTATTTTGTAAACCTGATCATGGGCAAGATTCTCAAAATAATGGAATAAGTCTATCAGCAAAATCATTCCAATTGTGAGTAAACCTCCTCCTTGTGAGTAGACTTTCCTTTTGAACTAAAGAGTAATAAGGGAGTTATTTTGATGTAGGACAATGGTTCTCTGATAATTATAATTGTCAATAGTATTGATAGAAAAAATTATTTTATGCGCGCTTAGTTTCACAGCTGGTACTGTAGTATGAATCAATACTAAATATTCCCTTTGTTATACATTTATATACATGCGTGGATGTGATCCTCTGTTAAGGATATCTCTTACACACCAAAAACATCAATGTCCAAACGTGTTATCTAGGTAGCTATATTTTCAAGGTAGCGGTGAATTTGAAGCTTAATTCCCCTCGCCTTAGCTTAGTAATGATTTATTTGAGACTAATTGAAGCAGAAAAATAATAAATTTAAATACCATATTCCGCCACCTATAATATTTGTTTTTGAAAACATTGAGACACCCTGTCTGAAACTAAACCTGGTAACATCCATAATCTTACACCAACCACGCAAAACATCAGCATGTACGTGTACCTAGCCTTATATGGGGCAGTACATAGTAGCAGGGGTGGCGAATGGTCCTTTAGAAACGCATGGTCTCGCAAAATTTTCGCCGAATTTCACGGGTCTCGCAGTCTCGTTTTTTAGCGGTTATGTGCGTCTCGCAGTCTCAATTTTTCTCACAAAGCTGTCTCTCAGTTTCGATTTTTTTTCAAGGCTAAGAAAGTCGTTAAGTACCGATTTGTTTATTCAATTTTTTTTCATATAAAGTTAAATGACGTCAAAACATCTTAGAACCTGAACGTCTTGAGTTCGCATTTAAAACACTTTTAAGTCTCGGTCTCGCAATTAAAGAAATCAAAATGTCTCGGGCTCGCAAAGAAAAACGCTAATTTCGTCGTCTCGCAAAGTCTCGCATTTACCATTCGCCACCCCTAGTAGTAGTATAGGTTCCAAGTTAGCCGGATTTTCAATTTATTCAAGATGGCCGCCAATAAAAGTTCGAGAAAACTGGAACAAGAAGATCTTTTAGATCTTATAACCGCGCTTTTAAAATTTAACTGTTTTGTTAATACTACAGTCACAACGCAGTGCACATTCCAAAGCAGCTCAGTCCTTGATGATTCATTGATTACTGTAAACACATCACTTGATCAACATAAACTGTGTTATAACTTATTGCACCATCACCCTTACCCTTTGTGAAATCTATGATGACGTAATTGTCTTAATCTGGAAGGCCCATGAATGATACAAAAGGAAACGAGTGTCACGCTATTAATAACGCTTTTAATAAACAGTTTTCTTCCTGAAAAGTCAAAATTTAATTTGTTTCTGCTTTGAAGTAGTCACGCAAGTCACACAATCAGAGGGTTTACGTTATCCACGGTTAATTTTAGAACGGTTGTGTTTTTTTCCCTAGCACTGACTAAGGTGGCCGAACACAGTTTTCAAGTGCTCATGCATAATTCACCATTACTTTAAACTGTTTATGGTTTGGCGCCCGCTTTTTTGCAAGAGTCAAGGTTAACCACAGAAGGATTTATTCTCGCATTTTGGCTAAGGTGTGTGCTGTTGCCATGGCAACGGGGCTGGTTATAAACAAGGCTTAAAAATTGGTTTTTGTTTACTTAAAAAAAAATCCAGTCGTTAGATTTTTTTCATCATTTGCCCACTACGAATTGACATTAAATCCCTTTTGTCAACACTGTTCTAATAAAATTTTGACATTTTCGTAATTCGCCGTAAATCGTTTTCACTGCATGTTTTATGTTATTAAAAATTCCCTATGTCAAAATTCAGTTTTTTTGTGATAGTACATTCACGTGGTTTCTGAACTATTTTTTGCCAAGTTTCTTGAAATTCTAACTACTGGATCGTTAGAAATCGGCAAGTTTGTGCAAAAGCAATCGGTCTCAATTTTCCGAGCAACTGCACATGCGCTGCATTTAACTGGGCGCTTTCGGTAACAAAGAAAAAGCTGAGAATTGCTGGGTTTTTTTGCATCGTTAGCTTTTCTAACATATCTTTGTAATAAAAGAATACATTGCGTTCAATAATAGAGAAAAATAGCACAGATAGTGCGGGTGTTGAGTAAATAAAATGATCGCTCTATTGACGGCATGTTTGTTTTAGCAATCCTTGTATGCGCGCGCCGAATTGCATCAGCAAAAACGCGCGCGAAAATTGTGTTCGGCTACCTTAAGGTGGCCGAGCACAGTTTTTGATACCTGTGTTTCATTCACCTTTTTCTCTAAAACCCTTGATCTCACAGTCGCCAAAAAT